GTTTTTAATGAACAGGTGAAGGGAAGGAAAAAAGCATCATCACATCTTTCTGACTTTTATGTCTTCTTCCAGATTTAAAGGATCTTTAATTAAAGAAGTCCTCCTGGGTAATCCAGGCTAGTCATATTTTAAAGTTACCTGAACAACAACCTTAATTACATCTGTAATCATAATTCCCACTTACCATGTAATGTAACATATTCAAAGATTCTGGGGATTATGACATAGCTATCTTTAGGGGAACCATTCTGCCTACCACAGATAGATTCCTTTAAAATAACATTATATAAAGCAATTTCAAGAAAAAACATCCAGCTCTTACTGCCTAGTCTAATAACATAGTTAGAGAAGTTTGAAGTGCTGTAAAATGTAGCTTTTAATTAACCTGATACTATTATGTTGAATGGTATTCCTATGAATAATGATTAAGAGTAATAGCTTGAAGAATACAAGTTTGAATTAGGACAAGTCAAAAAGAGATCTTGAAAGTATCAGCTCTTGAAGAAGTGTCCAACCCAATGGCAGCATTCTCTGTACTAATGGCCTGATTTGTAACTATTATTTCCTCTTATAATTCAAGGGAATTTTTGAGTTTTTTTCTGAGACTATTGAAAGATTACAAAATTAAATAATCAGAATTTATGTTATCTATGCCAATGAGAACTGTTTTAATCTAGCAAAGAAAGGCTTCTAATATACTTTCCCTCTCTCTTCCCAAAGTTTTCCTGATACGCAAGCTATTATCTTTTTTCCTTTAGCATGGAAAAATCTTGAAATAGTCATCTATATGTGTCCTTTACTTCCTTGTATCTCATTCACTTATTTATTCACAAATTTAAAAAAAGTGTAAATTGTGTTGATTATTCTAATGTACCTTCTGAATTTCCTGTCAGAAAGTTTGTTATCTTAATATCATCTAATATCAGTATTTATTTGTGGCATGATGCAAAATGTACTGATACTGTTGAACTTAAGAATATTATAAATTTGATGATATATGTTTTTGGTAAGCTAATGAACCCACTAATTTATGTGTGATAGACAGTTATTAAAATGGCTTCCAGTGATCTCCACTTCCCAGTATTCATGCCTTTATGTAATCTCCCCTTGAACATGGGCTGGGACTTACTAATTTGTTTCTAATAAACAGAATACAAAAGAACTGATAAGATGTCACTCCCAAAATTACATTGTTAAAAGACCATGGCTTCTGTCTTAGGTGTTCTCTTACACGATGGCTTATGCTGGGGAAAGAGCTACCATGATGTGAAACAGCACTGTGGAGCGGTCCACCTGAATGAGCTTAGAAGCAGACTTTTTTGAGACTAGCCAATAGCCATGTGAAGGAAATTGGAAGTGGGTTCTCCATGAGTCAAGACTTGAGATGACTAAAGCCTCAACTGACAACTTCATTGCAGCCTACAGATGCCCTGAGTCAATACTACCCACCTAAACTGCTCTGGATTCCCAATCAACAGAAATTGTGACATAACAAATGTCATTTTAAGCTTCTAAGTTAAAAAAGCAATAGATAACTAATACATGTTAAATCACAAGCATAGCACATTTAAAACTGCCCTCAGTCTAAGTCATCAGTTTTGTTGGTTTCATCTAAAGACAAGAAAATGAACTACAAATCTACAAAAAGTTTATACATCTGTTTCTGTCTCAAGAAACAGATATTTATAGATACAAAATTTTGAGACCATGTTCAGGATGGCCCGAATTAAGATGTAAGCTTCTATGGCATAAACAAACCTCAGAGTGTAGTTTCTCAGACACACAGGTGGTCTTACTCTGGAGCCACTGAAACTGAAGCACAAGAAGCCCTTGGAACTATTATCAGGACATGTAAGTCCCATGTATTAAAATACTTGGGCCAGAGAAAACCGAGTATAGTATAGGAGTTTCCTATCACCTAAAATCAAAAGTCACTAAGGAAGAACTTCAGAAGAACTGCAGGTATTGGTTGCAATAGAGATTTTTCTCTGTGTAGCAAGCACCAAGGTGAGCAGAGCCTTTAATTAAGAACAGTTAGTAATTTTGCCAAGAAATGGTTGGGGGAGGCCTACATGAGAAGCAAGGAAACATCTAAAACCTACACCTATCATCAAAATTGAAAGAGCTAGAGGAACAAGACCAAACAACCTCAAAACCTAGCAGAAGACAAGAAATAACTAAGATCAGAGCAGAAATGAAGGAGATAGAGACACAAAGCCTATTCATGATAATTAGGGTTAGGAGCAGGTAATTATCTGCAAAAAGACGAAGAAACTTTTTGGGGTGATCGAAATTTTCTATATCTTCATTATGGTGGAGGTTATGACTGTACACTTGTTAAAATCCAAACTGTACAACTAAAATTGGTAAATTTCATTGTATGTAAATTATGCCTAAACAAGGCTGAATGAAAACACCTGTCTATACACACAAGCGCAAATCCAGTTAAGCAGTTTGCTAATCTTCAGCTCACACTTGGAACAGTTATGCTTTATTTAACCTCCAAGGTAACATATGAATAAATCTGAGCTCTTTTGGAATAGGTGTATGTATGCAAATATTGTGAAATTCAGAGGAAATGTTCTAACTGGAATTACAGGCAGAAGACAGAATTTTTTAGCTTCCTCCTTTGGAGCTGCAAGGAAAATTTTAGCTTCTTCATGATGACATCAGAGGATTGGAATTAGAAGGGGAAAGGGTGACCTAAGAAGAATATAACTGAAGTGGAGAAGTGTGAAAGGAGGCGACTATTGGGAGGAGCGGGGGTTCCATTGGACTGCAAGAAATCATGGTGTACCTTAAGTTCTAGAATGAGGAATAAGGAATTGACTAGTGGATCAGTAACTGTCCAACTGGAACATAGTTGGGAAACCATTGTGATAAGGTAAAAAAAAAAATAGATTCTTCAATAAGACTTGTGATGAAAGGGTTAACATCAGATTATAGTGTTGATATTTATAAAGCACACAGAATAGAGCCTGAAATGTGATCATTGCTGTGGGTTTTTTTGTTTTGTTTTTGTTTTTGTTTTTGTTTTTGTTTTTGTTTTGTTTTGTTTTGTTTTTTGACAGAGTCTCACTGTTGCTCAGGCTGGAGTGCAATGGTGCAGTCTTGGCTGCAATCTCAGCCTCCCAGGTTCAAACAATTCTCCTGCCTCAGGCTCCTGAGTAGCTGGGAGTATAGGCAGGTGCCATCATGCCTGGCTAATTTTTGTATTTTTAGTAGAGACAGAGTTTCACCATATTGGCCAGGCTGGTCTTTAACTCCTGATCTCGTGATCTGCCTGCCTCAGCATTGGGCTGGGTGAGGTGGCTCACGCCTTTAATTCCTGCTGTGTTTTTAAAATAAATCACTCTTTTTTTTCATGAGAGTATTAAATGATAGGATAATAGAGTGATATCCAAACAAGAGTTAGGAAGAGGAGATAAGAGAAATGGACATTTATTCAACATACTTTCACTCAGATATTTTGTTTTGTGCTTTCAGATTCCACTATTTAATTTCAAGAACAAGGAAATACAATATTACCCTTATTCTACAACAGGAAATTTAGGCTCAGGAGGAGAGGCTCAGGTTCTAATTAATTCAGGAGCCAGAAACACAGAAAGGATACTGTTTCTCAAAGGTTGTTGAGGGACTACTTGAATTAACATCATCAGGGAGGCTGGGTGCTGTGGCACCTGCCTGTAATCCCAGCACTTTGGGAGGCCGAGGCAGGCAGATTACTTTAGCTCAGGAGTTTGAGAACAGCCTCGGCAACATGAGAAGACCATCTCTGCAAAAAATATAAAAATTAGCCAGGCACAGTGGCATATATCTGTAGTACCAGCTACTTGGGGGGCTAAGGCAGGAGGATGGCTTGAGCCTAGGAGGTTGGGGCTGCAGGGAGCCAAGATCATACCACCGCACGCCAGCCTAGGTGACAGAATGATCCCCTATGTAAAAAAAAAAAAAAATTATCAGGGATACATGTCTACAAATCATATTCAGAGCAAGTGAATTTGATTGGGATAGGGAGGGTGGCAGTACTAGATAGGAATCTGAATTGCTAACCATCTCACTGTTGGTTGGTACAGATATTTTGCTTATGTGGTGATTCCTAGTATTTAGAGTTTTTAGAAAGTTAGCTTCATAAACATCTGTAGCTTTGACTTTGTCTATTTAAAAATGTAGCTTTACAGTGGTCATAACATAGCTATAGTTCTCAATGCTTATATTTCCTACAGAAGAGTTAAAAATAAACCAGTCAGTATTTATTAATCCTCTCTAGAATTTATGTTATTGACTGCCCAAAATGGCCTCTACCTGAAAACAGTATTTTTCAGATTTCTTTATTTGCCATTTCTTTTAGCTTAAGCAATCTGAGACGTGTTACTTTGTGTTTACCATTTTTATGCAATATGGGATAAATGTGTATTTTTTTATTATGCATTAAGTGAATTATAGTAGATAAAAATAACAGGTTTTCATTAATTTTATTTATCAATATAGATGCCTCTCAACTTATGATGAGATTGCATTCCAATGAAACTATAGCAAGTTGAAAATATTACACATCAAAATGCATTTAATACACTTAACCCACTGAATATCATCAAAACATATACATTAGCCTACAGTTGGTCAACATCATGTAACATAAAGCCTACTTTATTATAAAGTGTTGTATATCTCATGTAATTTATTGACAACTGTACTGAAAGTGAAAACCAGCATGGCTGTATGGGTCCTTGGGGTACTGTTTCTATTGAATGCATAGTGCTTTCATACAACAGTAAAGTAAAAAAACTTTAACTTGAACCATTGTAAGTAGGGAACCATCTAATAAATGGATCTTTGTAAGATAATTCTATCCTATTTCTGAATAAAATAGAATTCTATTCTACTCTTCTTTTATCTCTTTAACAAACATATTCCGAAATAATTCTTTGTGGCATTTAGCTGCCTGCTTATTTAAATTCCAACACTGAATCTTTCTTGATTATGTATATTTTCAACAGGGAATCCATTCTTGCACACCGAGAAAATATGCGACAGATGATGAGAAGTTTTTCTGAACCCTTTGGAAGAGATTTGCTCAGTATCTCTGATGGTAGAGGGAGAGCTCATAATCGTAGAGGACGTAATGATGATGAAGATACCTTGACTGTAAGTTTTTTTTTTTCAAAGACAGTGAGAAAGACCTGTAGGAATTTGAAGAAAAGTACTATAGAAGTATATATCTATAATGATATGATATAACTAATATTCTTGTTATAGAAATAACTATTATATAAAAGGGAGGACCTTTGGAAAGCTGAATCTTTGAATAGTGACTTGTCAGCAATATAGAATTCCACTATGCTACCAAAACTTTGAGGACCATAGGGTTACATATTACAAGGCAAAGTGAAACCATTATTTTTTATATTTATGTATACATTTCTCACCTTATAATGTCCTCCCATATCTGAAACTAGAACAGACAAGCACCTACCTAAATTTTATATGTATAGTAACTGAAAGAATCTCTCATCCTCTATGTTCCATTTGGGGGCCTTGCTTTAGTGCCCTCACAGGCATACATACTTGTCTTGAAGACTGGAAGCCTTGAGCACATTACTGTCTAGCAAAAGGGAGAAATTGAAAGGAAAAGTTGTCAGTCCCATTTTCCTGTTCTCAATGCAAATCTGAAGATGGATAGAAGGAAAGGCTGAAACACAAGTTTCCACATTCACAAATGATGATTATTAATGTCTTTCACATGGAGTGAGCAGGGTTGGCTTTTCCTTTCTCTCCCATATGAATTGTTTTAATACTTGAAAACAATATCAAAAGCTGCAAAGGATTATCTTTATTGGACCAGGAAACACTAATCTTCCATATGGTTACCTATGGACTTTCAAAGCTTAGATTAACCTTTAATTGTATCTCAAAAGCCTTGCAACTGCAATATATTTTCATATGTCTTGCCTTAGAGCAAAGCTAGAGGCTACAAACATACTCAGCTAAAAATAAAAAAAAAAAACAAGATATTTATATATTGTAACCATTCTTTTTTGCCTCTTTTATTTCTGTTGCTTTTTTCAGCCTCAGGAATGATAGTTCTAAGATAACAAGTCCTCAGGGGTTTCTATAAAGATGAATTTCCTCAATTGAAATGTAGATATTTGAAACTCAGTAAACATTTAATTGGTAAATTGAGAAACTTCTATATAATAAATGTCATAATCAAAATTAATTGGATATTTTTCCAGGCAACAAATTGTTCTCTTGTGCTTTTTGGCAGTTTTGGTGGTATGGTTCGTATCAGACACAAATCATTTTAGCAATATTTTCTGACAAATACTTATTTTTCATTAACTCAGACTGACTAAATTGGCATGCAGTCTCACTTTCATAATGGCTTTTTAATATTTGTATTGAAAACCTCTGTTTCATGTATCAAACTTACCTTGGAAAGTTTAGGCACATGTTTCCTGAAGTAAGTCATTTCAATATATATAAAATTCATCTTCAAAAAAAGCAGATTTTAATAGATGAATATTTGCTTGATTTACAAAAGGGATTCTTGTAGTTGTGTTTGAAAGCTGAGGACTTCCACATGCTTATGATGACTTTCCAAAAGGTTAAAAAAAAGTACTAAACTGTAGATAGATAAGCACAACATTTGGAAAAGCACAGATTGACTGCTTTGTCTAGGATTTTGTTGCCAACTTGCCATGCAGCTTTTTCTTGGCTATACTTAAGAATGGCTACTCTGCAACCAGCATTTCTACCACCTGTTTCTTAGGGTTTTTGTGCTGTGTCTGTGATGCTAGCTTCCAGCACACTAAACGCATTCTAGGGAGTAGCAGAATATAACATGAATTTGGAACATTTCTATCTACAGTCTCATGAAAAGGGTTTTTTAAAATTTTTTGTGCTACCGTTGAATTATTTGTTTCCTTGAAGTTTGACATGCAGGTGTAACATTTGTTCCTCCTGACCAGAGAATTTAGTAAGACAAATGACAAAAGCAGTTATAACACAGTTATGAGTAAAATGATCAGGAAGTTCAGCATGCTATGGGAGGGAGCACAGATGGTAAAAAGCACCTTTTGAGGTGGGGTGGGTCAATCCAAGTAGACTTCCTGAACCTTAAGGATTAGTAGCAGTTAGCCAGAAAAGGAGACAGGGGAAAGCAATACTGTTCAACACAGAGAAAACAACCTGTGCAAAGACCTGGAGGCTAGGTAGCTAAAGATGTTTAGAATCAATTAGCCCCAGAGTATAAGTTGAACAGTAGACACTTATGACAATGAAGAGGTAACCAGAGACTTCTTTAGGCCATAGTAAGGAAGGTAAACATTATCTTAAGAGCAGAGGAAGCAGTGATGACTAATGTCAAAGTGGTAATAGAGTCATATTTTGGAAAGATTAGAAGAGACTACAGTGAAGGCAGTGAAGTCAGAAGGCTGTTGAAGCATTCTGGATAAAGTATTAGTGATGATAAAAATGAATTATTTCATTCGAGAGAGGGTTAAAAGGATGAATGGCTAGAACTTAGTGATTGATAAGGTTGAAAGAGCAGTAGAGAGGGAGAAGGGGAGTATCACACCCATTTTTCTGGCGCGAAGAATGGGGTAGATAGGAATGCCACTGAGATAAGGCATTGATTCAGTATAGATATAAGAGTGGGGTAGTCAAAACCATCATTTTAGTTTTGGGTGTTTTGCATTTAAGGCATCTGGGGTTTTCCAGGTAGATTTATCTGGTAAACTATTGGATATGTGGATTTGAGCTGAGCTAGAGATAATTTTTTCATTCATTCTACAAATATTTATTAAACCCTCTTAAATGCCAGAAATTGTTATATATGTATTGGGAATATTGTAAACAAAATCAACAAAATGGCCCTGTGTACAAAATTTTTGAAGGCCTTAAGGGCCCACTGAAGTCTCAACTCCATTTTATACCCCAACTTTTTGTCACTCTAGTGTGTTGGGTCACCCCAGAGCAAGTGCAGACACATCTTTTGGTGGTTGATTTGAACATGAATTGAGAAGAGGGCAGACATACCCAAATGTCTAATCTTTTCCTTTCTGTCTTTTTCTCCTTTGGATTAACCCTTCCATATCTCATGAAATAATAACATGGATTCTCAGCCTAGCGTTAAATTCTACTTCAGTCCTTTTTGTACTCAAATATATATTAATACTTCCTAAATGTGCCTTTGTTGCTCCAAACTACATTAAGTGCAGTTTCCAAGGAGGAATTTGGTTTTCCCACCTATTTTCCATTGTTAATATATGTAAAAATCTAATAGCAATAGAAGGGAGAGACACAAACAGGACTTAGAGATTCAGTGCTCCGCTTGCTTGAACAGAGAAGTTCCTTAAACAAAGCAACTCCTTCTATTTTATAACAGATGATTTACTGGGTAACACATTGGAATGTGTGCTTGACTTTTATTTGCTGGTGAGTCTTCCAGTGATAAAACCTAAAATCAGTGGTAGATTTTTCTAGAACGAAGTGTCTTAACCTCAGCACTACTGTCCTTTTGGGCTGGATAATTCTTTGTTTTGGGACTGTCCTATCCGTTGTAGGATGTTAAGCAGTATCTCTGATCTCCATCCACTAAATGCTAGTTACATGCTGTCCTCATCTGTGACAGCCAAAAAGGAGTATAGTTATTGCCAAATGTCTCCTGAGAGTCAAAATCAATCTTGGTTGAGAAACTACTGTTTAGAGGAATTCTTAACTGTTTTTCTGAAGAAGCATACCTCATGCTTCAAGGGTATAGCCTACTGACCCTTTAGTAGGCAGAAAATTGAAGGCCTATTAGTAAAGTGAATTGACTTCTGTCACCTGGATCCTACTATGAAGCGAGGAAGGCTGCCTACTTACTGGAGGGGCAGCTTCTTTCAGCCAAGAAGTACTGCTGGGGGTGACATTGGCATCTTATATCCAAGTTTTATTTATTTGCATGGTGGAGTATTGAGAGATAAGGAAAATTATGAAAACTATCCTATGCTAGAAAATATATCACTTAGTGTTTAACATATACCAAATTCTGTTTTGAAAAAGTGAGTAATGAGTGATTAGGTGTATATGTGTATTTATATATACATGCACATGTATATGTGTATATATACACATGTACATATATGTATTTATAATGTTACAATTCCCTAATTATTTGTATGTTGGCTCTTTGGGATTTTGTATCTGCTTCAGTTTTCTCCTTAACTAATCACTGTTATTGTATGCTCTTTAAGTTACCTTTGTCTGGTTGATTACTGCATGAGATTCTACTTAATGAATCAAAAAAATATTTTAGCTGTTTTGGAAGATGTATTTGCATCTTTTATGTTGTACTTATAGTTAATAACAAATTTCCTGATATTCTGTAGCATACAGATGTCAGCCCTTTTCAGGCAGTGGACCAAATGTTGTCAAATATGAGAAACCGTATGCAGCAATTAGAAAGAAACTTTGTAAGTACTAAAAATAAAGCATTGAGAGCATTGTGTATACTTTGGTATATTATATATCATAGTGGCTTTCAAACATGTTTTAACCATAGTGGTTAAAAAGATATTTTACGTGATTAACCCAATAATCAATATTTGTATACTTTATAGATGTATTCGAAGCAAAAGTTTCATGAAAAAAAAATGACTATACTCTTTACAGTATATATTTTCTAGTTATTTTCTAGTCTACTTCATGTTTTAAAAATCCTGGTTACAACCTACTAAATTGAGTTCATAACCTCCAAGTTTGAAAAATAGTGTTGACTTTCAAAATTTTTTTAAAAATTGGAAAAAAGTTAACCTCAAAAACATTGATTCTACTGAAAGTCACTATTGTAAATGAACATTTTATATGAATTTGCCTAATTTTATTGTTAATAACCTGTTTACTTAAAAGGATTTGTAGCATCTGAAGAGTTACGTTTTAGGGCTTTATAAACAACTCTGAAAACAGAAATTTTAGGAATGTTGTTTAGATATAAAACCCTGATAGTTCAAATACTTATAAACTAGTCCTATAATAATACTCTTTCTTTTCTACTTAACATTAAAACCAGTCACTTGATGTGATCTGAAGAAGACCCAAATCATTCTAGTCATCCACCTTGAATTCTATAGATCATTTCAGAATGCCCAAATAATCTAGGCATTATTGGTTTTAGTAATGTAGCAATCTGGTACCTACAGGAAGAGTTATGAAATTTGATGTATAACTAATTGGCTTGATTGGCAAGATTACACCCAAGGGTCAACCACTGACTGTAGAAGTATAACAAGTTTGGGGGCATAGCATCTTTATTGAAATCTGAGCCACAAGCACCCAAAGACTTAAGGATCTCAGAGTGAGTCACTTACCAGTCTTTGTAAGGTTAGTGGGATGATCATTAGGACTCTAGGGATGCCTTTTTTTTTTTTTGGTAATTTTTCAAGTTACTTCGCACTTGAGAACCTGGATGTGCCCTTCGGCTACACCATATTGGTAGTTTAGTATCCTTAGGTAGAACTTACACAGCTACTGTTGTTACTTATTTGAACTCTGGCTATAATTATTTATATTTGATCCGACTCTGAATTTACAATTTGTTTACCTGTAGGGTCAACTTTCAGTGGATCCAAATGGACATTCATTTTGTTCTTCCTCAGTTATGACTTACTCCAAAGTAGGAGATGAACCGCCAAAGGTTTTTCAGGCCTCAACTCAAACTCGTCAAGCTCCAGGAGGAGTAAGTTTTCTATAAGCATTCCTAGAGCTTTATAAAGTTGTGGAATGATAGACTGTCTATAGAAGTATCACAGGTTTGGGGACATAGGTGTAGTTAACTATTAAAATTTGATCTGGTACAAGGTGGCTGGGGGACAGGAGAAAGGTGTAGGGGTTGGGGTTAAGGTTGTCCTTACTATGGAAACTATTAAAGCTCAACTGTATTTACTTAGTTTGTGGCAATTTTCACCCCCTTGACAGTGCCTTTTTTCATGTAAATATCTATTGATGTTTATTACCTTTACATGTTGACAAGGTAAAACACTAAAGCCTTTGTTTCATGAAATAACATCTACCTTAAGTTTACATTTGAAGTGAATTAACTTTTTAACTCAAAATGTTTTAAGTGTACAAAAGGGATATAGAGAATAACATAATAAGTGCCCATATTCCTGCCACCCAGTTTAGTCATATCATAACATTTTTATCTTTGCTTCAAGTTGTCTCTTGCTTTGTTTTCTTTTTAAGCAAAAATGTAGAGAGGCAGTTAAAGCTTCTAATACATTCCTCTGTGGTCTGCTTTCCCTTTCTCCCCCCCTCAGAGATTACCATTTTCCTATATTTGGAGTTTATAATTTTCATGCATGTTTTTACAACTTTATTATTTATGTTTATATCATAAAAAATATAATGGATTATTTTCGAGATTTCCCAACATTACATAAAGGGTATCATATTGCATGTGTCCTCTGCAACTTATCTTTGCTGAGTAATATGCTTCTGAGATTTATTCAAGTTGATACATGTGGCTGTCGTTTAATTTCTATGTAGTATCCAAAATATGAATGTACCATGATTTTTAAATCATTTTCTGTTGATAGGTATGTAGGTGAGTCTAATCTTTCACTAATTCGCCTTTATACATGGCTCCTTATACAAAGAATCTAGGAATATGGTATTGCTGAGTTGTAGGGTATGTGTACCTTCATCTTTACCTAGCATTTCCAAACTACTGTCTCACAGTGATTGAAGTTGTTGGCTTCTGCAAACTGTGGTTTGTGAGTTTCCATTTCTCTACTTCCTTGTTAGTATTTATAGTAGAAATTTAGGTTTACCAGTCTAATGAGTGTGAAGTAGTTTATTTTTTAGTTCTTCCATATAAAGATGAACCTTTTAATGATGCTCTTGCTATAATTCTGCTAATTGATCTCAAACATTTTAATTTTAAAAGTGTGGTAGTCTTGAAGATAAACAGAATATAACTGTATATGTCCCACAGTAAATCATGTTAGTAGCTATCATAAATATTCTGATAACACTTCCACAGAGTTGATAGGTGGGAATCATGAGATTCAAGCCAATCAACATGACTGATGAATAATTAGTTGCCCTTATTTGTGGGAATGCCGTCATAAACTTCTCTCTATTACATTGTCCAAGATAGTCTGGAAGGCATTAAATTATAATTGTTACTTTTGTTTTAATATTTGATTTTAATTTGGAAAAAGGTTGAATTGTATGGGTTCTGTTTGTTGTAGACATTTTTATTTCAAGGAGTTCAGGAAATATCAGAGACTAACTACCCCAATTTTACCACAAGTTAGTAGTGGAACAGAGTACACATTACTTTTAGAGAAGTAGATCTCTGGCCATACCTCAGTAGGTAAGCTAGCCCTGAGAATTTTAGAATTATATACAGTATATATATGTTTACATAGTAATGAAGTATCTTTTGTTTCTTTATTTTTATAGATAAAGGAAACCAGGAAAGCAATGAGAGATTCTGACAGTGGACTAGAAAAAATGGCTATTGGTCATCATATCCGTGACCGAGCTCATGTAATTAAAAAGTCAAAGAACAAGAAGACTGGAGATGAAGAGGTCAACCAGGAGTTCATCAATATGAATGAAAGTAAGTTATCACACACACAAAAAAATTATTTCTCATAAGATTAAAATAACAACTGTACTTGACCAATATTTTTTTGTAGAAACGTCATAAGGTGTACTTTTTGAATAATGTATAGTGAATACCTTGTGGAAGTAATAGGATTGTGGTTCCATCCTTTTATAGGAGATCTCTTTTTTATAGTGATTTTGGGCAATGTGGTATAGTACTTATTTTTATTTTAAACTTGAAAAGTGGAATCTTTTGAATTGTTATTTAGTAATACTATCAGTAGGCAAAATGAGTCTTTAAATATTTTTTTCTGATTATTAAGAAAGGACATTTGAACAGTATAAAGACATTAAATGAAAGTGAAAAGTATAAAGACATTAAATGAAAGTTGCCAGGAAGTTTTTTTAATTAAAAAAAAAAGTATAAAGAAAAAAGTCATCCATAGTCCAAACTGAAAATACTGTTAATGTTTTAATGTATTTCTTGCTAATCATTATATATATATATATAAACACACTTTTTTCTCAATTAGTATTTTACTGTTATATAGTTTATATTGTACTTATTTCAGTTTACCATTATAATTGTAAAATCACCTATGATGCCATTTTTCAAAAATATTTTAAGTGGTTACCTAAAAGTTTTATTATAAATAAGCCATAATTTTTACCTAAATCATTCTGTACTGTTGAGCACTTAGGCTTTTGTATAGATAAGATTTTAATTCCTGGTGTATGTTAGATTGCATATATGTCTCTGTCTCTCTCAAGTAAATCTTTTCTTTTTCTAGATTTTATATTTATTCTTCAATGCATTTAAGTCCCTCTAGTGTCCTAACCCTTCTCCCTGTAGTTTTTTTGTTTTGTTTTGTTTTGTTTTTGAGACGGAGTTTCGCTCTTGTTGCCCAGGCTGGAGTGCAATGGCACAATCTCGGCTCACTGCAAACTCCACCTCCTGGGTTCAAGCAATTCTGTTTCAGCCTCCTGAGTAGCTCGGGTTACAGGCATCCACCACCATGCCTGGCTAATTTTGTATATTTTACTAGAGACGGGGGTTTCTCCATATTGGACAGGTTAGTCTCGAACTCCCGACCTCAGGTGATCTACCTGCCTTGGCCTTCCAAAGTGCTGGGATTACAGAGGTCAGACACCGCGCCTGGCCATAGTTTTTAATTATATTACAATGTATTAACAAATTTAATGAATAAATTTAAATTATTTTTATTAATTTTTAAATCAATATTAAGCTTTCATATTTTATTGTATTAATTTAATAATGAAATTATATTAAAATATAGTTGGATTCATCTCTTATTTTCAGAAAGTATTTTGAATAACGTTTTTCCATAATAAAGTGTTTAAAGTGTTGTACTAAAAAAGAAATTCTGGCTGGGTGCAGTGGCTCACGCCTGTTATCTGAGCACTCTGGGAGGCTGAGGCAGGTGAATCACAAGGTCAGGAGTTTGAGACCAGCCTGACCAACATGGTGAAACCCTGTCTCCACTAAAAATACAAAACTTAGCCCAGCATGGTGGCATGCACCTGTAGTCCCAGCTACTTGGGAGGCTGAGGCAAGAGAATCTCTTGAATCCAGGAGGTGGAGGTTGCAGTGAGCCCAGTTGCCGCATTGCACCCCTAGCCTGGGCGACAGAGTAAGACTCCATCTTGGGGGGAAGGGAGGAAGAAAAGAAATTATATTAATGTTGGAGTTTGATAAATTATTCTTATGCAATAAGATAGAAGCCATGATAATGTGACCTGTGTTTAATTGTAACCTCTGTAATTTCTTTTTTTAAATTTTATTTATTTATTTATTTATTTATTGTCTTTTGTAACCTCTGTAATTTCATCACATTTAAATATATACTGAGTATTTCATAGTAATCAACATTTTGATGAAATATATAGTGAAGGCACACAGTATTTTAAAGCAGTCTGAAAGAAGTACTATCGTCTATCTATTGTTGATATTGTGGAAGTTAGATTACGTACTTCATAACAACATGAATTGACATTCTAGCTGAGTAACCTGTCTTAGGAAATTGACAACAGAAACTTGTGAGGTCAAGTTACATAGAAAGATAGTGCTAGCCACAGAAGTATACATGTATACAGGAACAGCATATTCACTTTGAGATGACCCAGGAAGAAAAACTATGAGTCATAATTGGGTCAGCTGGTCCTTTGGGTAAAATAATATGATACCCAAGCAGGTGAAAAAAGTAGATCATTAGTAGGAATAGGAGAGGAACAGACAGTATTACTTAAGTCAAATATTACTCTAGTCAAAGACCCTTATATTTGAAGCAGCTCCCTGCCTTTATATTGAGGTTACACAAATGAAAACACCAGGCTAGACTAAAATATGTGGAAGCAAGGCAGTAACTAACAGTTGATACCTTAATACTTATTCCCATTATCTTGGTATTTAACGTAGGTGACGCTCGTGCTTTTGATGATGAGTGGCAAAGTGAGGTTTTGAAGTACAAACCGGGACGCAATCTAGAAGACACTAGAATGAGAAGTGTTGGCCATGAGAATCCTGGATCCCGAGAACTTAAAAGAAGGTAAACGTTGTTTATAAAATCATTTGTTTTTTTAAGAAGTAAAGTTATGTAATTTCTTCTGTTATCAGAAAGTTTTGATGACCATCCAAGTTGTATCCACAGTATCCTTTGTGAAAGATGTAACAATTTCACATTAAATTGTGAGTATTCCACACAAATTTTAATTTATATCCAAAAATTAATAGTAGTTTATGATTGTATGGCTAGTAATTCACTAGTAAACTGTGCCTCAGAAGATAGAGACCAGAGTCCTTTTAAGGAAAACTAATTTACTTATAGTGTAGTTGTTCTTGTAAAACAGATTCTCATCTGGATATAGGTAGAGTCATACATTTCACACTGGTAAAGATACCTAGAGCTATGATAAGGGAAGAGGGGCTGTATTTGGAAGACTTAATAACTTTCTTAACAAATCAAAATTTAGCATTTAATAGTAAATGAAATTTCAGACACTTGTATAATATGTAACAGTACATGCAATGTCATATTTGATGTGTATTCGATATTTTTGAAGAATTTTGGAAAAAACATTAGCTTCTTTTAGAATTTCCTTTTAGAATAACTATGAAAAATAAATTTGCTAAAACCACATATTAAAGATTATAGAGATTTCTGGCTGGGCGTGGTGACTTATGCTTATAATCCCAGCACTTTGAAAGGCTGAGGCAGGTGGATCACTTGAGGTCAGGAGTTCAAAACCAGCCTGGCCAACATGGTGAAACCCTATCTCTACTACAAAAATTAGCCAGGTGTAGTAACACACACCTGTAATCCCAGATATTTGGGAGGCTAAGGCAGGAGAATCCCTTGAACTTGGGAGGCAGAGGTTGTGGTGAGCCAAAATTGTGCCACTGCACTACAGCCTGGGTGACAGAGGCAGACTCCATCTCAAAAATGAATAAATAAAGATTACAGAGATTTTTATACATTTTGTACCTACTTTAGAGCTACAGTTTAATGCGGTTCTCTGGGGGGAAAATGGGAAACTATCTAATTTCTATCAAATTACACTCAAGAGAAAGGCCTCACCAGACCTTAAACAGAAATCTGTTCTAAGCTGTAAGGGAGTAGAGAATTGCTGTAGAAGGTGGAAGCTTTCACAGAACCAGCAGTGGACAAGTGGGTGTCAAGTAAATCAGAAGCCTTATGCAGAATTTCATGTGCTAGGATCTTTTCTTTTAAAATACTTCTTTAGGAATTTAGAGCCCTAATATTTTCTATTGAATTGATTGAAAATTTGCTCCCATATTCATTATAGATATGTGTCTCATTTGAAAAATATATTGATTAAAAACCTAGCAGTGCCAAGTTTGAATAGGAAATCCAAATCCCACTTAGAGAAGGCATGCTCTCTATGGATGACCTATAAATTTCTGGCCCTAACAGTGACATTTTCTCTTAACCAACACTGTCCAATGGCATTTTCTGAAATGACTTCTGTAATGACAAAAATGCTATATATCTATTCTGTATATTCCACATATGGCTATTGATTAACTCTCAAAACATTGCTGGTACAACTAAGGAACTGAATTATTTTATTTGATTTTAATCAATTCAAATATCAGTGTGGCTAGTGGCTGCCATACTGGTAACATTAAACAGTGTTTAAACTGTAAACAGTTAAATCTATCTCCAGTAAACAGCTGTTGCTGTCTTAAATTCACTGAAATAGTCTGCCTTGTTTTTCAAAGTTATAAAGGAACTTTTAAGGTAAAACTTTTCTTATATTACAGTAGTTTTTAACGTGCTTTTATTGATTTATAAACCACTGACCATTTTTTAAATGACACTAATATTCACATGTATCTTTCTCAGGGAGAAACCTCACCAAAGTCCAGCCATTGAATATGGAAGAAGATCAAATGTTTTGGGGGACAAACTCCACATCAAAGGCTCATCTGTGAAAAGCAACAAAAAATAAAAAGCCATGCATTTGAATTGTTTAGTTTTGGTTAACAGTTAGTAATGGTGCTGGATAATAAGCATAAGACCAATCTCTTGTTAAATTAGTTCTGTCCTTGGCAACTTTCTTCTGATAATCTGAATATTCATGAAAGTCCTAGCTTTATATCGTCCCCCTTTTAGGAATAAAATTTTGATTTTCAACAATGTGAGTAAATTGTGAAATAGCCTATTAATATAAAACTCTTCAATACATTAAATTTTTAAAGCTTAAATGCTGATTTTGCTTCCCCAGTTTTTGTGTTGGCTAGTTATTCTTTTATATTTATCAAGATTGATTGCACAGCAGTTCTGTCACTTACAATTACTATAAGAAGTTAGAATATTTAAAAAGTCTAAGTTTTACTAACACTGTACTAGGGTGATATTGATAAAGGTTTAAATAATTTATGTCTGAATTTATAAAGTGTTGTATAGCCAGCTAGCTTAAAGCTTTAAAAATAATAAAGCAAAACTACACTAGTACTCTATTATGAGAAATTAGTTATTATTTTGATAAAGGGCAAGATAATCAAATAGTTTATTTTCAAAGAGAAATATTTTAAATTGCTAATGTACGTAATTATTTTGGTTATAATTTCTTTATAGAGTGTATCTTTTCTATATTTACATTCTTAACATTCATCAGACATCATACTGACCATTCTCTTTAACTTTTTAATGTGGCATATTTCTGCTCTCCTTTCCCACAAACAGCTTCATCTGTCTCCAAGATTAACATTCTAAAACATTCACTCTCTCCAAGTAAGAGTCCTTGGAGAAACTCTGCTTAGCTTTTTCTGTGACATTTAGAAAAATACATGTGGTATTCTCCAAACCAGAATGATAGATTGTCTCAGAATTTATTAGACAGCTGATGTGTGTTTTTGAACAAGGTCTTAATAATTCAGTTGTTACTGTTTTTAATGATACCATTAAAATCAACTTTAGCTTTTTTATTCCGCAATTTAACCATTAATCTGTTTTTTTCAAAGTTAGGTTTGCAGTTTAAAAGAATATAAAAATCTTAACTCTTATCTGTTCTTTTAATATTTCTATCAAGGAAAAAATCCCCCCAAATCCACGATCATTCTATAATCCTAAGTATTTTTCTTTTCAATTTTATAAGTAAAATTACATGACTTCTTATACTTCTCTAACTTTTTATATCATATTTTTGTTAATTTTACTAGTGTTTTATGCCTTTAGTCATTAAAATAAAATAGAAATGTGTAAATTCATTGTTGAAATTGAGCATGTTTTAGTTAAAAATTTCCTCTTAGGCATACTTTAGTATACTGCTAACATACCATAATACATTGGGAAATTGTCATAAGGCACAGATTTTAAATAACACCTTTGTATGTATTAACTTGATAGAGCAAAGTCTTAATAAAGTACGTACTTTATTTTCCTTTTGCCTAAATCATTACACTGATGAGAACTTGAATCATTGTAGTAAAATCTAAAAACACACTTTAATAAATAATTGTGTTTAACTCTATAATTCCTCTACATCAGATCGCTATTAGTGATTGTGGTGAGGCAAGATTTGAGGCGGTAGTATTGAGGAAACTTCTGTTTCTTTCTTAAAAGTGAACTCTATCTTTGTACCATAAAAAAAATAACTATCAATATCTATACCCAGAATGTTTGTTTGAAACAACTTCTTATGATGGGTGTTTAATACTGTTAGTCTGTAAATTTAAACTATTTAAAAGTATATACAGGCTGGGTGCGGTGGCTCACATCTGTAATCTCAGCACTTTGGGAGGCCGAGGCTGGTGGATTGCTTGAGGTCAGGAGTTCAAGACCAGCCTTGACCAACATGGTGAAACTCTGTCTACTAAATACACAAAAATTAGCTGGGCATCATGGTGGGCACCTGTAGTCCCAGCTACTCAGGAGGCTGAGGCAGGAGAATCACTGGGACCCGGGAGGCAGAGGTTGCAGTGAGCCAAGATCGTGCCCCTGCACTCCAACCTAGGCAACAAAGCAAGACTCCAAAAACCTACATACACATACTAGGTACGATGGTTTATTTTATGATTAATATTTTATATTCACTCCTTTTATGAGCCAATGAATTATTTTATATGGGTTCATGAGGTTTTTTAAATGAAATATAGAAGCTTGTTTTTCATGTGTATGTACATTATTGTCACTTTCATGAGAATGCTTTTTGTTTTTGTTCTTGGAAATCTACTACAGGGAGAACTATAATTTTTCTTTTCACTGTGGTCTATTGCAGGGTCTTTTGAAGTGATGTACCTTGTGCCTACTTAATAGAGTCTGAAGGCCAGGTGCAATGGCTCACACCTGTAATCTCAGCACTTTGGGAGGCTAAGGCAGGCGGATTGCCTGAGGTCAGGAGCTCGAGACCAGCCAGGCTAATATGGTAAAACCCTGTCTCTATTAAAAATACACAAATTAGCTGGGCATAGTGGTGGGCACCTGTAACTCCAGCTACTAGGGAGACTGAGGCATGAAAATCACTTGAACTTGAGAGGCAGAGGTTGCAGTGAGCTGAGATCACGCCATTCCACACTAGCCTGAGTGACAAGAGTGAAACTCCATCTCAAAAAAAGTCTGAGAAGTCAATGTGTTTAAATCTGTGAAATTACTTTCCACATAATTTGCTAATTGTAAAAGAATTCAGACTTATAAAAACATTAGTGGCTAATCTTTTGGGAAATCAGCTAGAATTAAAATAAGGAACAATAGATATAAATTAGAAGAAGATAATTAAAATTTTCTAAGGTCCTTGTATTCTTAAAGTTCAAGGTAAAAATAAATTATTAACTTATGACTCTGTTAAGAATGCATGTCAAAATAGGGTAACCACAAAACCGACAATAGAGTGTATACCTCTGAAGCAGATAAAAAGAAAATGAATTCAATCTCAAAGCAAGAAAGGAGGAAAAGGTAAATACAAAACATTTTTAAAAGATGAGCTATAAATGCAAATATGTATATAAGTAATGAGAAAAAGATTAAAAAGCAAAAATTGTCAGTTCAAATTTTTAAAAATCTAGCTCTATACTATTTCCAAAAGTCATATTCAAAAGACATTAAAAGGTTGACAGAAGATATAATGGCAAATATTAGCTGTAAGAAAGTTGTTATATCTATATTATAATAAAACATGTACAGCAAAAGTGACTACTAGATTATAAAGGGGGACTCTGCTAAATAAAAGATTAGATTGATCAGGAATATACATCAGTTCTAAGTCTATGTATACCTAATAACATAGCATTAAAATACATAAAGCGGTATTTAAGAGATGAGACTTCTCATTCTAGATAGAGCATACATATTTTTTCTTATCCCCACTAACAACTATAAACTCTGGAATTAATTCTTAAACATTAGAGCAGAGAGAAAAAGACTAGCTATGGACTTTGGTACTTGAAGAATGATATGGCATGAAAGGATTGCAAATAAAATATTAATCTGAAAAATATACAACATATTACATAGTATATATAATCTTAAAATAGTTTATAGACTATCATAAACTGATACAAATATGATTGTGGGATGTAGACATTAATAATCCTCCTTTCTGTGGTGCATAGAGTTTACTTTTTTAAAAAAATGACTTTTCATAATACCACAGCCTAAAATTGGCCTCACCAGAATCAGTGTGTTTCCAAGAACTGGAACTTTCTCCGTTTGTTTTCATTTTTTAAAATGATTGACTTTACTCTTTGGTTATATCAATTATGGAAAATGTAAAGATGCAGAAGAATGCTAAAATAGAAAGTGCCCATTATCCGATGCCCCCAAACAACAAAAGATTTGTGTATTCATTTCTAGTCCTTTTATGTGGATATATAGAATCTTACAAACAAAATTAATATTGTAAAATGTATATTCTGATTTTTCACATTTTTGAGTAACTGTTTTCAGGACAATAAGTATTCTTTGAAAGTATGATCTTCAGTTTCATTGTTTACATCAAAGTCTAATTATTAGCTATACCATACTTTACCTCCAAATATTTGCTATTCAAATTGTTTTAAATTTTTGCTATTGTAAATGTTTATGAATATCATTTTTATTCATAACTGTATTGCTGATCATTTGTTTAAGATAAATTATGGGAATGGAGTTACCAATTCAGAGTATAGCTATTTTCAAATTTTTTATATATTTTACTAAATTGGTTTACAGAAAGATAATATTTATAGTCATACCAATGAATGTCCCATAAATGTTCATTTTTAAAATATCCTTTGCCCAAAAAGAGTAGTGGATGTTACCTCTCAAACTGTTATTATTACAAATTTTGATAGACATAAAATATTATCTCCTTAATTTTGCACTTTTTCTCTGATAATTAATGAAGTATGATCCTTTTCCGTATGTTTATGGCTGATTTGCTTTGCTTTTCTGTATATTTTAAGCAGCGCAGGTCTTGTGGAAGGAGTTTCCAATGTATGCAATTTCTTCTCATATCATTAGTTCTTCCTAAATGAGCAAGGCATGAAACTGCATGTATTTATCACATTATTTCAAGTTAAGTATCCCAATATGACTGAAATTATGGTCTTTTCTCTTCGGCAGCCATGTTATTTTAATGTTTCTGTAATCTAACAAAATTAGCTCTTATTCTTCACATTAAATAAAGTGGTTTTGACTATTCCATGAACCCTATATATGATATGATAGTGAAGAGTAAACTTAAGATCTTACCTAGCTACCTCCATTTTCTATCAAGGTCTTCAAAACTCTTATTAACTGCATATTCATGCTGCTTATAGCAATCACTATCTGTACCCACGGCTATGCTCTTATTGTAAATTCCAGCTTCCTTATCACCTCTAGAATTCCACCTCTGGAATTGTAGTCATATAGTATCTACCCTTCAGTATGGAACAAGAATATTTCTGCTCAGGAGCTAAAATAACCCTGCATTTGTGTCCATTGTCCCCTTTGAGTGACATCAGAGTCCTAGCTTCTTGGCAGTTGCAGGGAACCTCTTTAGTTTGGGGACAGCATGGTTTAGTCATTGGAATATGGCACATGAATCACTCCTGTCATAGAAGATCTAAGAACTTATGATGGTCCTGTCAATGAACTGATGACATTACCACCAGGGTGAAATTTCTTCTTTTACATGTGTATAGAGCGCTCCTTCAAAGCCCAGATATTTGCTTGGGTGGTA